GTGGGGGCGGGGGAGCGGCAGGGGGTGGACACAGTGTTCCAGGTCACTAAAAGTTCTTAGCAACCTGTCACGCTCTGTGCGTCTTCCCATCCAGCTGAGCTGGGCAGGACACCAGTCAGAACCAGAGCAATCCAACGTCTGCACCCTCGAGCGACAAATTAGCGAGTCCCCCTTAGTGGCCGTTCTCTGCCAGCACCCCGTCCCCCGAACGACATTGCCTCAGGCATTGCCTCAGGCGGTGAATACCTTAGGGATAGCCCTGGCAGGACCTCAGTAAATGCACACTGATATCACTAAAGAACACTAGAACAACTACTTAACGTAAACAGGCCATAGTCTATGCTGTGTGGACAGCATCATAGTGCTCATGCATTAAAAATATTGCACATGCACAGAAGTGCAGGCTTACACCATGGCGGGTGCACAAAAACTATTTGAAGCAAAAGTGTGTCCTGCTGATCACTCTTGTACCCCCACCCCTCTCTAAATAGTTCCTCCTTAAAAAAGGAGGAACTATTTAAGCTAAGCTCCTAGCTCCTCCTGTCTCTGAATCTGTGGCCAAATGATGCAGGGGATCCCGCATCTTCTATCTTCTTCACTGCAGAGTGGGAGGGGTTTTTCTTTGGGTGGCCACGTCACTGCGTGGATGACATGAACACTTCACCCTGGATGTCTAGTGGTAGGATGCTCTCAGGCTCTAAAGACAGTAGCGAGATAATGTCACAAAGAGGGGAGGCATCAAGACTGGTCAGTAGCTGGCCCAGTCTCTGTGGGCACTTTGGAGGGTCACATGATGGTGGCGTCATGTAACTTAAAAAACAGTTAGAGGGTTTTTTAATAGGGCAATGGGTGAAATAAAGGTAGGAGGGAGGAATGATAGGGAGATTCATGTATCCCTGGAGATGGGCTTTTATATGCTGCTGTGTAAAATTGGAGGCTCCAGTGAGCATATACTCCCCATCTTGCTCCAAACAATACTACTTATGGGTCTTTTTGAGATGGTACATGCTCCTTTAATACCAGTATAAACAATTACGCCACATTGGAGGTTTTTTTTTTTTTTACTTTTAGTGCAGAATCTTAATAAGTACGTTCCTTAGTGCACCTTAAGTATTGTTTGAAATTGCAGGATGCATATAGACCTGTGAATCCTCATTGCAAGCGTACCAGTTATCGTCATATTAATTGTTTCTTGCATTTCCATTTCGGAAAAGCCTCAAAGTTAGCCAGCTCGTTGAAAACAATGCACTTCCTATGTGGCTAATATCTTATCCAGTCACTGAGGAAGCAAAAGCTCCCTGTAGTGGATCATTTACAAATCTCTATATTTACTACAACTGAAAAAATATGGAATACGTGTGTGAAAATATAGTAAGTCGAAACATAGTAGACACCTCAAAAATCACCAAAACCATCTGCTTGCTGAAAACACAGTGGGGGGGAATTGATCAAAACTGGAGCAGAGAGAATCTGGAGCAATTGCCCATAGGAACCAATCAGCTTCTCTTTTCAGTTTGTTAAGTGAAGATTTGAAAATGAAAGAGGGAAGCTGAATGGTTGCCATGGGAAACTGCTCCAGATTCGATAATGTCGTTAGCAATACTAAGTCATCGAATTTTGTCGATCGACAGAACAGATTTTCGTTTGCACATGTGCAGTGCTCTTGCTGCATTTTTTTTCATACTAACAGATCCATTATCATTTGATTTGAAAAAGTTTTTCAGCCTGGACGATCGAGTAAATTCAGCCAGGCGTTCAGTACAAAAAATAGTTGGTGTCCCATTAACTGTTCGATTAACGTTGGAAAGACCATTCGTGGAAGATTTCTGAATGTAAATCTAAGGGTGTATGGGCACCTTAAGAGGGAAGTTCCCCTCATTTTACAGAGATTTCCACCCACTTCCTTTTGCGTCTTTGGATTGGAAAGTAAAGGGAATTTCACTAATGCGACACACACAGCAAAAAGTCCATTTAAAAAAGGATTTGAACCTTTTCTTACTCTGCCCAAAACTAAAATGCAGCCACTACATTTTGGGTTTAAATAAGCTTACAATAAAAGTCAAGAATTGTATGTATCTTAAAGCATGTATCGTATAAACACACTTTGTGGCTCTGTAAACCCAGATATTTTCTTGTACAAGTAGCAGTGATGTCATCACTGTGCTGCACATAGCCTGTGCAGGGAACAGAGCTATAGGAGGGACCCATGAGGTCATGGGCACTACAGTTTGGATACAAGACCAGTCACACTGCACAAAAAGAGAGAGCAGCAGTGACTGGTCTTAATACAGGAAGCTCCTACACAGAGCAAGTTTCTTGCTGAGTTACTGTACAGCTCTGAAAGAAATACACATAGCTCTGTAAGAATACACATGGCTCTTGTATGTAGAAAAGATATGCTGTTTTGCACTTGTGCACTTGAAAACAGTAAAAATGTTTTTGTCTACGCCTTCCCCTGCACTGTATCATGATGACTGACTGAGAAACAGAGGAAGCACCTTTTGCATTATGCGAGTAAGATTTTTCCTCTGGTTCAGGCTTGTACTGCTCCGACTCTGCATCAGAGAACAAATTTATCACATAAGAAAATCAATAGATCAAATCCCAAAAATATTGTTTTTGTTTATATCCAACCCAAACCTAACACAAAATTCAACCCCAAACTTAAAGTATAATTATGGAAAAACACCTAAATATGAATTGAAATACTGTATATTAATATATCAATTTCTAGTCTTTTTACCTGCCGAATGACTTTGTTATTTAGGTCAAGGTGATTGTAGCCCTTATTAGTGCACTATTACACCAACACAGTGGAGTGCTTTTATTATTTGCATTAACAGGTACATTTTCAGGTCAACTATCATGTTAGCATTTTGCTTAAATCTCCAGGCACAAAGACTTTAATTTCAATTTAGTACTCAATAGTTACAAGAGATATCAATCCACTTTTGTGTGCACCAAATGTCTTTGTATCCCCAATAGCAGGGACATCATCAGGCAGGCAGGCAGGCTCTACCACCCCTGCACAGCAGATTGCAGGCATTTAGGTGGCTCCTGAATATCTGTGAGGTTTTTTTTCTATCCTCTGGGAGTTTTAAATTGGAAATACATGCTGCAAACACTTGTGGAACAGCCCCATTGACTTGCCGAGTCAAAAT